GGGGAAAAAAATAACACGTTGGGATCTCAGGTCTCTGTTCTTCTCCTTGTTCACGTGTTCTCCCGTGTTCTCTAAGTTCCCCCGTCGTGATGAACGTGTCCCCAGTACTCCTCTTCCTCTTACTGTTGAATAATTCCCTCGCAGCAAGAACAGAAGAGGAAGAAAAGAGTAAAAATGGACATAGAGTCGTGGTCATCTCCCTAGACGGCTTTGGACACAGTTATTTCACTAAGTACAATTTTCGGCATTTAAATCAACTGGTTGTTCACGGGAGTTGTCCCGAGGTGTTCAGGTATGTTCTATGATCTTGTGCTTTGTGAAATTAAGGCTGTGATTTTGAAATGAAATATTGGTATATTATTTTTGGTGGAATTTCTGTGTAGGTTTTGTGTTGTTTTATTCACTGTTTTTGCAATACGTGGTTGTGTTTGTTTGTTTGAAATAATGAAGAGTTATCAAGTAACCTTTTTCCTTTTTGTTCCAAGTGTTATTATTATATACAGGTGTTTTTTGCAAGTTGGTAAAGGCGACTTTGACATTTAATACTGTAACATGTGTTCATTTCTCTCTCTCTCTCTTTCTTTTTTGTGTTTCCTTTTCAAGACATGAATGTCATTTTTGCAGTGACTTTCTGTTGAATATACAGAGGAATTCTCAATAATCTTTTTTGACTGTCAGCCAGTAACTTTCTACATTTTTGTTAACTCTGGATGCAGATGCTTCACTGCCCGCACGGGGCCCCAAAAGACGGGCATTAGACTTACTCAAATAGCCACTTCGATGAGTGTATGGCTTGTAGTCCAGCTGCAAATGAACACTGTTTCCCTCCCCATTGCAATGTTATTTATTCTTTTTCTGCATTATTTTAAGGGTTTCTAGCTTTTTTGCCATTTTCAAATGTCAGTGTTCGTTATTTGACTTGCTTTATCCTTTATAGTGGACTGCATTCCTTGCATAGACTCCATATTATCTCTTTAGGTAGTCCATAATTCAGTGCAGTGATAATTACAATAAATAACACTTTGTTATTTATTGTGATCTTTATTTTATAACTCAATTTCTGTAATACAACTTGTACCACCAGTCACGGTGGGCAGGAATAGACTCATGAGCATAGAAATAGCGTCCAACCTGGAGTCGTCACTCTTCCTGTCATGGCTTGCAACAGTACATTTGACACTTATTTCTTAATGGACAAAATCTGAGAATCCCCCTCCTAAAAACCCATTAAGTCTAATCACTTTCCAAAACCTCTGTTCAGATGTGGTGAGTCATTCCCATCACCCAAGCCATCAGCCAAAATTCTCATGACGGCAAGTTTTTTTCACCACGGCCCTCAGCCAGATTTTCCCATGACGGCATGTTCACTTCGCCAGCCCCACAAGCCAGATTTATTTATGACGTGATGGTCACTCATCCAGATCATAGGGTTAAGCATAAGAATAGAAATATTTAGAATATAAAAGTAAGTAGAAGTATTGAACAAAAATGAGAAATTTGTTTTTACAAACCATATTTAGTACAGATGAGGCCAGTAGAAAGAGAGCTTACTCTAGGCTAAGGTTAGATTAAAGTAATTATTACAAGTAGGACCGTGCAGCTCTCAAGAGAAAAATAAAGTACTAGTTATAAAGAACACAGAGTGTGTTGCTATTAGATATAAGAAATAATCTACTTTAAGATGATAAAGCTATAATTGCATTTGAGCTTTCAGATTGGAACATCAAGAAGAGTAAAGCCATAATAACATATCAGAGCCTGCAGACTTACACAGTAAGAGATGCGGTTGTCTCTTCACTGTATGGCACAGCAGGGGGACAGTGACATGTGTATTGTGCCATAACTAAGACCCCCCAACCCCCACCCAAAAAAAAAATCCACTTAGACTTTTCTGGCAAGATAAGTTCATTATCTGCCAACTAATTACCTTTAAGATCTACAGGCTTCATTATTAGCAGAGATGTTAATAGGCTCTATAGTGCCATATATGTATTTGAGATTTGTTGACTTTTGTGAGATTCTTGATAGATGCAGATGATCAGTGAAGGAAGTTCATTTGTGTTAATAAGATTTACACGTGCATGTTTAAGGATAGTATTTTACTTTATTGATAAGCATTTAGGACAAATAAAAGAACAGAAATGAAGCGATAGTCATTGCACAGCATGACAGATTTAATACTAATAGTAATAGTGATAAATAGTAAAGATAAGATAAATATGATATTGATAATAATTATGACAAGGTGGGCCCATGTTGAATGAATCATAGCCTTGACTTATAGGTCACCACCTCCCCATGTGCTAGGGGTAGTTAGGGTCCTAATCTCCCCTGAACCTGAAACTCCCAGTCACAAAATCAGTAATCAGGACCCTTGCCCACTGAGCATATGCAGATTGAATCATTAGATTTTTAAAGAAATTATTTTCTATTTCATTTAATTAATTTATTTATTTGTTTATTTATTTATTTTATAGAGATAGGATGAGCAGTGAGCAGTTTTTTTGTTTGTTTATCAGATATTATTTACAATCATATTTTAAAATCCTTAATAATAATCATAATAGCAACAAAAACAATGGATTTATTCATTATGTTAACAGTAATGATGATGATATTGTTGTAAAAGGCATGAATAAGAATAAATACGTTTACAGTGCAAGTTATGAATATTAGTATTTATATTGATTATTGATGATGGTGATGAAGATGATAGCGGTAATGATAGTTATAGTAATGATAATTATATTAACCATGTTAGTGATAATAGTGATGACAGTACCAGCAATTATGATGAGAGGGATAATAGTGATTTATAAATATATAATGTTTAGCGTTTGTTTGTTTGTTTGTTTGTTTGTTTGTTTGTTTGTTTGTTTGTTTGTTTGTTTGTTTGTTTGTTTGTTTGTTTGTTTGTTTGTTTGTTTGTTTGTTTGTTTGTTTGTTTGTTTGTTTGTTTGTTTGTTTGTTTGTTTGTTTGTTTGTTTGTTTGTTTGTTTGTTTGTTTGTTTGTTTGTTTGTTTGTTTGTTTGTTTGTTTGTTTGTTTGTTTGTTTGTTTGTTTGTTTGTTTGTTTGTTTGTTTGTTTGTTTGTTTGTTTGTTTGTTTGTTTGTTTGTTTGTTTGTTTGTTTGTTTGTTTGTTTGTTTGTTTGTTTGTTTGTTTGTTTGTTTGTTTGTTTGTTTGTTTGTTTGTTTGTTTGTTTGTTTGTTTGTTTGTTTGTTTGTTTGTTTGTTTGTTTGTTTGTTTGTTTGTTTGTTTGTTTGTTTGTTTGTTTGTTTGTTTGTTTGTTTGTTTGTTTGTTTGTTTGTTTGTTTGTTTGTTTGTTTGTTTGTTTGTTTGTTTGTTTGTTTGTTTGTTTGTTTGTTTGTTTGTTTGTTTGTTTGTTTGTTTGTTTGTTTGTTTGTTTGTTTGTTTGTTTGTTTGTTTGTTTGTTTGTTTGTTTGTTTGTTTGTTTGTTTGTTTGTTTGTTTGTTTGTTTGTTTGTTTGTTTGTTTGTTTGTTTGTTTGTTTGTTTGTTTGTTTGTTTGTTTGTTTGTTTGTTTGTTTGTTTGTTTGTTTGTTTGTTTGTTTGTTTGTTTGTTTGTTTGTTTGTTTGTTTGTTTGTTTGTTTGTTTGTTTGTTTGTTTGTTTGTTTGTTTGTTTGTTTGTTTGTTTGTTTGTTTGTTTGTTTGTTTGTTTGTTTGTTTGTTTGTTTGTTTGTTTGTTTGTTTGTTTGTTTGTTTGTTTGTTTGTTTGTTTGTTTGTTTGTTTGTTTGTTTGTTTGTTTGTTTGTTTGTTTGTTTGTTTGTTTGTTTGTTTGTTTGTTTGTTTGTTTGTTTGTTTGTTTGTTTGTTTGTTTGTTTGTTTGTTTGTTTGTTTGTTTGTTTGTTTGTTTGTTTGTTTGTTTGTTTGTTTGTTTGTTTGTTTGTTTGTTTGTTTGTTTGTTTGTTTGTTTGTTTGTTTGTTTGTTTGTTTGTTTGTTTGTTTGTTTGTTTGTTTGTTTGTTTGTTTGTTTGTTTGTTTGTTTGTTTGTTTGTTTGTTTGTTTGTTTGTTTGTTTGTTTGTTTGTTTGTTTGTTTGTTTGTTTGTTTGTTTGTTTGTTTGTTTGTTTGTTTGTTTGTTTGTTTGTTTGTTTGTTTGTTTGTTTGTTTGTTTGTTTGTTTGTTTGTTTGTTTGTTTGTTTGTTTGTTTGTTTGTTTGTTTGTTTGTTTGTTTGTTTGTTTGTTTGTTTGTTTGTTTGTTTGTTTGTTTGTTTGTTTGTTTGTTTGTTTGTTTGTTTGTTTGTTTGTTTGTTTGTTTGTTTGTTTGTTTGTTTGTTTGTTTGTTTGTTTGTTTGTTTGTTTGTTTGTTTGTTTGTTTGTTTGTTTGTTTGTTTGTTTGTTTGTTTGTTTGTTTGTTTGTTTGTTTGTTTGTTTGTTTGTTTGTTTGTTTGTTTGTTTGTTTGTTTGTTTGTTTGTTTGTTTGTTTGTTTGTTTGTTTGTTTGTTTGTTTGTTTGTTTGTTTGTTTGTTTGTTTGTTTGTTTGTTTGTTTGTTTGTTTGTTTGTTTGTTTGTTTGTTTGTTTGTTTGTTTGTTTGTTTGTTTGTTTGTTTGTTTGTTTGTTTGTTTGTTTGTTTGTTTGTTTGTTTGTTTGTTTGTTTGTTTGTTTGTTTGTTTGTTTGTTTGTTTGTTTGTTTGTTTGTTTGTTTGTTTGTTTGTTTGTTTGTTTGTTTGTTTGTTTGTTTGTTTGTTTGTTTGTTTGTTTGTTTGTTTGTTTGTTTGTTTGTTTGTTTGTTTGTTTGTTTGTTTGTTTGTTTGTTTGTTTGTTTGTTTGTTTGTTTGTTTGTTTGTTTGTTTGTTTGTTTGTTTGTTTGTTTGTTTGTTTGTTTGTTTGTTTGTTTGTTTGTTTGTTTGTTTGTTTGTTTGTTTGTTTGTTTGTTTGTTTGTTTGTTTGTTTGTTTGTTTGTTTGTTTGTTTGTTTGTTTGTTTGTTTGTTTGTTTGTTTGTTTGTTTGTTTGTTTGTTTGTTTGTTTGTTTGTTTG